AAGCAATAAGGAAAGTAAAGGGTATAAATACCACAGACCCAATGGAAATTCAGAACATTATCAATAGCTACTTGAGAATCTTTACTCTCACAGAATAGAAGATACAAGAAATGGACAGATTCCTAGAAAGGCACAAATTACCAAAACTGAATTAAAATGGTATAACAACTCTCAATAACCCAATAACATCCAATGAAATACTAAATGTAATAAAAAATCTACTGACAGAGAAAAGTCCAAGTCCTAATGGATTCTCAGCTGAATTTTACAAGAAATTTACAGAAGTTATAGTCCCTATACTACTCCTCAAACTCTTTGATGAAACTGAAAAGGAAGCAATTCCCCCAAAATCATTCCTGGAGGCAAGTATTATACTGATACCAAGATCAGGGAAAGATGCAACTGAAAAAGAAAACTACAGGCTAATCACCCTCATGAACATTGATGCAAAAATAATCAATAAAATCCTAGCAAATAGAATACAGCAAATATCAAGAAGATTATACATCATGACCAGGTAGGATTGATCCCAGGGATGCAAGGATGATTCAATATATGCAAATCTATAAATGTAATACACTATATCAATACAGCCAAATCTAAAAACAAAATGCTCATCTCAATTGATTCAGAAAAGGCTTTTGACAAAGTCCAACACTCATTCATGTTGAAAGTCCTAAAGAACATTGGAATAGAGGGCCTCTACCTCAATCTGATAAATGCCATCTATGACAACCCAATGGCTAATATAATACTAAATGGGGAAAAACTGAGATCTTTTACTCTCAGATCTGCTACAAGACAAGGACATCCTTTTTCACCACTCCTACTGAATATAGTTCTGGAATTATTAGCTAGAGCCACTACACAAGAGAGAGAAATAAAAGGAATAAGAATAGGTAAAGAAGTTAAATTTTATTATTTGCACATGACATTAGACTTTACTTGGAAGACCCAAAAAACTGCACCATGAAGCTACTGAAATTGATTCACAAATTTAGTAGCATAGAAGAATACAATGTCAATACCCAAAAGTCAGTAGCATTCCTCTACACAGACAACAAACAAACTGAGAGGGAAATTACACAAACAATACCTTTTACAGTAGCACCACAGAAAATGAAATACTTTGGAATTCATCTAACTAAAGAACTCAAAGGTCTTTTCATGGAAAATTACAGTACTCTTAAAAAAAGAGAGATTGTAGAGGATTTCAGAAAATGGAAAGATATTATGTGCTCCTGGATAGGAAGAACCAACATTGTGAAAATGGCCATGCTCCCAAAATTGTTGTACAGATTTAATTCAATCCCCATCAAATTACCACCAACTTACATCACAGAGGTAGAGAAATTGTTCCTAAAATTTATTTGGAACCAGAAAATACCTAGAATATCAAAGGCAATCCTAGGCAAAAAGACAAGGCAGGAGGTATCACAATTCCTAACTTGAAATTATACTACAAATCTACAGTGATAAAATCAGCATGATACTGGCAATAAAATAGACCTGTGGACCAATGGAGTAGATTAGAAGATGCAGAAGCTTCTATGAACACACTCAGCCAACTTATCTTCCACATGGCCAAACATGATCACTGGAAGAAAGATAGCCTCCTTAACAAATGGTGCTGGAAAAACTGGCTCTCTACATGCTGAAAACTAAAACTTGACCCAGGCCTATCACCGTGAACTAAGCTAAAGTCAAAATGGATTAAAGATCTAAACATTAAAACAGAAACACTAAATCTCCTGGAA